TACTCGTAACTTTATTTCTTTGAATCACAGTTTTGATAGTTTACAGTATTATTTTTTTATTTTATGAAACATCTTCAAACATCTGTATGGCTAAATATAATTTAAAAAACAATTCATATGTTAAGAAATGGAAGCTCGCCCGATGATTGCTTATCGAAAATGCTTTCGATCAATGAAAATTGGCGGTTTATCTAGTGAATTGTATCTTAATAAAAAGAAAAACATTTTTTTATTTCATACGACGTATCACGTTTCGCTCTTGTATTGTAGACTCTTCTATTTCCAAGCTGGTCATTAGTCTGTTAGTGATACATGTTTATATCTGGATGTCTCTTATTCTTTCAATTTTGACTAGCTTTATTATCATTGATATTTTATTATTCTAATAGTTTTCTGCAGAAATCAAATCATCGGCAACTTGATCTCAAAGAAAAATGAGTGTGCTAAGAGTTTATTGTGATTTTTCTTCATAAATGCCATGCCAATAGTACTGATGAGTGTTTATTTCTATTGAAAAAAAGCGCTAAGCATCACTTCAGCTGTTTCTATGAATCTTGAAGTAGCTGAGTCGCTCAGAAAGAAATATTTATTTCAGCAATCACATTTCTTTTGTTAATATATTACACAGTTTATCTAAGATTTTTTTATCTGAATTCACCGGCATCGATGGTGAATATCTCATGTGTACCTGATGTTTTGTTCGGAAATCTAGTGATGATGTATAATTGAAAATTCTCAACTTTACTGATAGTAGTTGTATCACATAAAAGAGACAACACTTTTTCAATTCAAATAAATAACTAAATCATATTTAGATCCATATTTTTAGCATATCTAAACTTCTTTATAAGCTCTTCTACTTTAAACGAAGCTGAAAGTTGGTTCAAACAAAATTGATTCTTTAATATTATTACGGCATTACTATCGAATTCACGATAATTATCGAATACTACATCTGTGATTTTCAATTACAACGCAATAAAAACATTAAAATAAAAACTCTCGCCTAGGATTAAAAAATGAATCAAATGAATTCAGTAAAATATTTGCTCATTGTGCATTTTTCTAAAAAAGCATCAGTAGTGTCACATAGCAGAAATTTTGAAGATACCGCGGCATCTCCAAAATTTCGGATATGTGACCAGGCTTGCCAAACCTCCTGATTTGACCAGGAGACTCCTGATTTTTGGACAGCTATCCTGATAGAAAATTTCCTGCTTTCAGGAGCTGATTTTCAACATTTTCTCCTGATTTCTCCTGATTTTTAGATTTTTCCCTACTTGATTGTCAGCGATACTCTAGATCAATAAGAGAATTAAAAGGAAAAAAGAGAACTATCGCAGTATTGAATAACTATAGAAACGAATAAAAAAAGACATGCTATTTTCAGAATAAAAAAGGAATTTTGACTGATCGATCAGAATAAAAAAGAAGTCTCGCAAGACTCCAGATAAGAATATTAACTGGTCCAATGTGCATAATAGATAGAACTGAAAAAATGTTTTTACAATTCCTCTACGTGTATAGCAAAGGGTATTACTTGTGTTAGAACTCGAATGAAAACAATATCATTTGTATTAAAATATTGATCATCATCTTGATATGAAACAGATAAAAATGCTTATGTGAGTGAAAATTCGAATTTTCTACGAGAAAATCGCTTAATGTTCTCTTAACTTCAAATATAAAATCTCCTGATTTTTCTCCTGATTTCTAAAAGAAATTCTCCTGCTAAACTCATGTTTTTTGATAAAAAAAACTCCTGATTTCTGAAATTTCAATTTGGCAAGCCTGTATGTGACGCTACTCAACAATAAACTCTTTAGATAAGAGACACGTCATCGATGTAGACGTTTTTGTTTTATTTCTTTGGAAACTAGATTTTTTATTGGGAATTCGACAATTAACTACTGATTGATTTTACTCAAATTTTCGGCTCTTATAAAACTACATAGTGAAGAATCTCGTCTTTAGCTATGTAATTACAAAAGAAATATGCATTTTATTACGTTCATACTAAGAAAAATATCAATTCTTTCTGTACAAGCCTTATTTTAATATCTCAAAATTATGAATTTTCAGCATGCCAGTTATAATTCGTGTCATGTATGAATTATATATTGTCCAATAAAATGATTGAGCACCTCTAGGAAAAAAGCTTAGAATCTATGCAATGCTATTATAAATGGTTAATTCTGTATTCAAAAATGACTTCATGCAAATTTTACATAAGATCAAATAGTTTAAATAAGACTCAATTAGAGTAATTTAAATTAACTGATAAACAAAATAGATCTGAAATTATTATCACTATTCAGTAGTACGAACGGACTTTTATATGAACAGGGAATGAATTATTTTTTTCTTTTATATATTTGCACGAAATTAATATCAAATTGATATTCATATTTAAATATCTAGCATACTAATTGATTAGTTCGAATTCATGGGGATTGTAAAAAATTCAGTAATGGGAAAATAAAATTTACTTTCAGCTGATTAAAATTGTTGTTGGATCGCTTTTTAAACTTAGATCGATTTTTTAGGTTCTCGGTTTTTCACCCGTGAGTCGACAAACTATTCATGATTATATATACCGTAGTATGGCACATCCAGAAAATTTATTGTAGAGCCCCTTCAAATGAAAGATAATCTTGCTATGGAGTTTTTGAGTGTGAAAGATTAGAGTAAGATATCTAATTTTATTGCTATGCATTCATTGCCATCTATTTCATCTTTAGAACAACTCTTCTACTTTATATTTACTCAAGTAATTAAAGGAATGTATTGAATATGTCCAAAGACACACATATATATATATACCAGTCACTCAAAAGAAATAAGATCGAAGAACAAAATTTTAAATATTTAAGCGTTGAAAAGAGAAATTTGGAATAATAAACAGTTCAACCGTTTACAAAAGAACAGTTTAGACAAGTTCTATGGGCTCATTGACCACTATTTTGTACAGTACTCTATTCCACTATTCTTCGTTCTATTTCGTGTTTTTTTTTGCCGTATGTCTTAGAGCCTTTTAGTTCTTAAATATTTGGACCACGATCAATTTCACGGGTTACACTTAGTAGGGAAAGATCTGCATGCAAATCACGAGTTCGCTCACATTCTTAGAGGAAAATTTCTAAAAAAATACGAAATCAATTGATAACAATTTTTTCAACGTTCATCGTTTATTGTGACAGAAAATATGCAAATGTACAGAATTATTATAAAATAGGTGACAATCATATTACTGTATATTTTTCTTATGAAAAATTTTTCTCTTTATTTGCAGTAATAAAATACTGTGTCATAGTTCGCACAGCGTATCCGAATGGGTTACTTCTAAACTTTTATTATTCATCGGTAAATGAGTGAATAATAAACGAATCATTAATAAACTATTTGAAGGATTTTTATAATATATATATATTGCAAGATTGTCACCGTTTTATAAATTTATATTTTAGGATAGTCCTCATTTTTTTAAAATTTTCTATGTATGAGATTTCCTTCTCAAGATTCGGTGCTTTCTTTCCGAGCTTATATGCATTCTTCGTTAGACCTTCCGTTTTTTCTTCAACCGCAATAGCTATTGCCAGTATAAAACAAACAAAATTAGTTCAATGTCCTTTATTGAAAAGTGAGCCGCGGGTTAGACTTTCTAACTAATATTTTTTACTTCTGTTTTTTTTTTATATAAATTATTTCATATGAATAATTTTTATTTCTTACCAGTGAATAACTCAATCAGATAATCAATCACTTGTTTCTACATACTAAAATACAATATTTGGGATCTGGTATATCTCTATACTGAACTGCTGTCTGATTTGAGCCAATCAAGATAATTCATTGATACCCGGGATAGATCTTTTGTTATATTGAAAAAGAAATTTTTGTTGCTAACTTATTATATTATTCAAATAAAAGTTATCGAATGTCATTTTCCAAGAGCAAATTAGAATCCAACCACTGAAAGGATGGATTATTCATGTTTGCAATAACATTATCTCAATATCTGTAGTACTACCATATATATCATTTTACTGCAAAGAAGAAGCTGTATTTCTTTTCTATTCATAGAAATCATGAAATATACTCACAATAATTGAATCAGTAATGCTGAATTCCTTTCAGTAAGACAACTGATAAAATGGCTACAAAAGTACAATATTGACCTCTATGTAGATTATTTGGCCCATCAAGTAACTAACCCTTTGCAAGATATGGATAGTAGAACAACTGGAAAAGCCGAACTTTGCTTCTATATTATAATATTGTTGATCAGAAAAAAGTGGCATTTATTCTTTTTATGTCATTAATTGGCAACAAAAAGAAAAGTTGAATACCTAACAAATATTTTTAGCAACGCATGCAGTTTTGACAGGTATTGTTGAAAACATCTGTTTTTCTTTGAGTAATAATACTATTCGCGAAGATCAATAAACAGTTCACGATAGTTATTTTTTCTACTTTTCACGTGACAAAAGCTTACAAAAAATAGATACATGATTTAGATAAAAATATAATTAACTAAGCATCCCTTATCAGTCGAACTGTTGAGAAACTTTCCAAACACATTAATTGTACTATTATAAGTTTCCCTTTCTATATACATCATATTGCAAAATGTCCTGCTGTATTTTTTGTTTAGCTAAAGAAAATGATAGACGTCATACCAATTTTTTCTGATATTTTCAAACTTTTTCGGTGATCAGTCATGCATTTAGGAAATAAACCCAAGCAGAACAACAATTTATTTTACCAATCAAGGGCAAATGAATTTAAAAACATTCTTTAGCCGTATTTTTAATCATTCATTTTTATTTTCCGTCGTCGCTCAGTACATGGCTGCAGAAAATGGCTCAATTAGAGAACAATGGTTGCATAATTATTTGAAAATCAATCTTAGAAAAAAATTTCATATACTCATCCAAATAAAAGTAAAAGACCGACAGGAAGTTCTCGTTATCATACAAGAACCATCTAAAAATAATCATTCAGGACGACGCAACAACACTTCCACTTCTTGCCTCATCAATATGTACATTTTCATTTAAGCCATCGAATTCATTCATTGATTCTTTACGCATATTACGTTGTACTATTCCTAAGTTTTCTCTTTCAGCATTATTTTTTCTTCTAGCATTTCCATTAGGCGATTTTTTGCCTTTGCTAACACAAATACTCAATATTTTAGTAAGTTCATTACCAGCTGCAACACGTTTTTGCTCTTCCATTCGTTGTGATAGAATTATTATATATAGACTTATAGACCAAACACCTTCCAATCCATTAAATATAATGAAAAACCATTCTAAAACGTCTCCACCGGTCGGACTCACAAATGAAATAAATGGTCCAAACAACCATCCAATACCTTGTGTCACACACGATGATAATAAGATAAGTACACACTGTTTCATTCGTTCATACGATTGATGTCGTGTTGTAGCACTTCCAGCATGAACGATAATATGTTTACTGACAAAAATAATCGTAAAAAGATTTAGTAGAAGAAATAAACAAACAGGTGTTGTCATGAAATAGTAAATAACATCTCGAGTAAACCAACAAAGTTGATATGGATATAATTGAGTAATGCTGAATGATGCATTTGCATTAAAGCCAGCAGCAAACGAAACCCAAGTGATTGAGACAAGAAATGAAATAATAAGTAAACTATACAGTAGACGCAGTTTTGGTTCATGAAAAAGATGTACAAATCGAAGATAATTGAAGTAACCAATACTTGTTTTAGTACAGAACATAAATATTAAAAGGAAATAAACGAAAAACATCAAGACAC